CTCGTGGGGCTGGAGCTGTGCCATGCTGGGCAAACAAACACCTTTTGGGGCTGTGCTCTGCCCTCCGAAAGCTCCGGTGAGTTCCCCGTTGCCCAGCAGATGGTGCTGGTAGCCGGCAGAACCCGAGGGATGTGGGAGGGCTGCCCAGCCTCCTCCTGCTTCCCTGGCCACGCTTGCAGGGCCGGCTCTGTGAGGAAGCAGCGTGAAATTCCTCGGACACGGCTCCGGGCACGCGGCTCCAGCTTCCACAGAGCCCCCGAGCCGATCCAGGGAGAGCAGCTGACTGCCAGCCTTGTTTGTGCCCAGCAGGAAGGGCTCCCAACAAGGCACTGCTGGCCTTGGAATCGTGTGACTGCCCTGAACACCCTGAGCCTTTCCATCTGGAAACCTTTCCCTGGCTCAGGAAGGAGCAGCTCTGTGTTGGGCTCAGAACCTGTTCTGTTTGTGGTGCCCAGGCCAGGTCAGAGGCAGTGGGCACAGAGATGTGTGAGAGTCCCCAAGAAATCTGTTTTTTTACTGAGGAGGGTGCTCAGAGCCTTGCACACATTGCCTGGAGGGTCCTTGGGGATCCTCAAATCCCAGCTGGACAGTGCAGAGCAGCCTGCCCTGACTGAGCCTGCTGGGGTCGGGTGAGATCAACTTGAGAGGCCTCTTCCCACCTTTGCTGTGTGAATTGGAAAGGGATGGAAGCTTGCCCTGGGCTGTGGGACAGCACAGCAGAGTTCAGTACAGACCACAGGCACGTGGGGAGCTCTGAGTGGCTGAGCAGAGACCTGAGAGGAGCAGGGCTGGGCAGGGACTGTGTGGGTCTGCAGGGATTGGAGCTGATGCAGTGTTTGAGGGAAGAATGCTGTCACTGGAGACATCCAGCTGGAGTGTTGCATCCACTTCTGGATTCCATTCAAGACGGGTGAGGAGCAGTTGGGGAGAGTCCAAAGAGGAGCTGTGAGAGATTAAGAGTTCAAATTTGGTTTAGAAATCCAAAAATCTGTGGGAAAGTGTGAGAAACTGTGATTGTTTAGTCTCTAGGCTCAGGAGGAGGGCTCTGTTGACATGTCTGGCAGGAAGAGGGGCACAGCTTGTGCTGTGTATGCTGCCCAGCTAGGGCAGAGCAGTGAAACTGCAGCAGAGGAGGGGCAGGTCTGACGCTGGGGAGGGTGATGTGACATGAGGATGTGCATCACCACAGCTCTGATCCAGCTGGCAGCTGCTCCAGGGGTTTCCGTCTCTCCCTGATGCCATCTGGATCCTCATCCTCTCGTTTTGACAGGAGGATGGTGATGTTTGGGGCTGGCAGCTGTGGCTCAGCAGGCTGCAGGGACACAGGAGTGGAGGTTCTGTGCCTGTCCCTAACCCTGTGCAGCTGCAGGGACACAGGAGGGGGGGTTCTGTGCCTGTCCCTAACCCTGTGCAGCTGCAGGGACGCAGGAGGGGAGGTTCTGTGCCTGTCCCTAACCCTGTGCAGCTGCAGGGACACAGGAGGGGAGGTTCTGTGCCTGTCCCTAACCCTGTGCAGCTGCAGGGAGTGGGGTGGGAGCCCTCCTCTCCCTCCAGCTGTGCCTCCAGCTCCATCCCTGATGCTGCTGTTCTCTCTGCAGCATCCTGGCAGAGCTGAAGCTGCGTGACCCCACCTTCCCTGACATCTCCTACGGCGTGCTGATCCACAAGGTGATCATTGGCTCCCCAGCACACCAGTAAGTGCTGCCCTGTGCCTTAGGGCTGCCTGGGGGAGCAGTTGTGGGATGGGTTTTGTTCCAGAGCAGCAGGGCTTGGGCTCTACAGCTGAGAAGGGGACCTCTCCCCAGGCTGGCTGTCTTGATGTAGAACCTCTGGTGCCACAGCTCCTGCTGCACTTGGAGGATGATGTGTCTGCCTCACCCTGTGTGTGCTTGTCCCCTCAGGGCAGGGCTGAAGGCTGGGGACGTGGTGCTGGAGATCAATGGGACAGTGTCACGGCGTGCTGAGGATGTGTACGAGGCGGTGAGGACGCAGCAGAGCCTGGCCCTGCTGGTGCGGCGTGGCTATGACACCCTGCTGCTGAGCGTCGTCCCCGAGGTCACCGAGTAGCAGAGACCACCCAGGTGGAGCTGAGGGCAGGACTGAGATGTGGCTGTGCTGGCCAGGCAGAGACAGAGCTTGTTGCAAGGCTGGAAGGGGCCAGGAGAGGGGCCTGTGCTTGGGTGACTTGTGGTGCAGTCATTCCTCTCTGTACTCAAATAAAGCACTTTTCTAGCGGCCCCCAGGGCCGTGTCATCTCCTTCCCTGGTGGAGGCTGGGCTGTGTGGGACCTTGTTCCTCCTGTCAGTCCCCTCGAGGCAGCTGGGGAGGAGCTTGCTGTGCCTCCAGGGTCCTTATCAGTGTTCATGGTGTTCTGCCACCTGCTTGGAGCCCACCTGGGCTGGGATCTGACTCCTCTGTGTACCTGGCAGGCAGCTGGATTGTGTTGCCCCTGTGTGGGTGAGAGCAGCCCTGGGACCAGCATAACCTCCCTAGAGTGCAGCAGTGCTGGTGTGCCACGGCCATCTGGTCACATCCCTTCTGCTGGGAGCTCTGCATCTGCTCCAAGCCCTGTATCCACATCCCCTCACATCCATGCAGCAGCTTTCCAGGCCATGGTAAATTTGTGTCAATGCTGGACTCGTGATGGCTGAGGTGGCATCTCCTGGCCCTGATACCTAGGAGGGCT